TTTGGCTAAGGAAAACGCAGTTGACTTGGTTTGAAATCTACATCCTTTCTCTTAAAATTGCAAGTCATTAGAGAAATTATTTTTAACAAAAAAAAGTTATAGTCTCCTTTGGGAAACTGAACGAGATGGAGCTTATAAACTAATGGAGGAGAAAGACTAAATAAGAAAAAAAACTATTTAAAAATGCCATGATAAGAGTAAACAAAATTTTGACATGTAAAGTAACTGGGAGAGGCCACTTTAAATAGATCTTATAAATAAGAAAGTCTAATAGACAGGGTGCTTCTAAATTTAAAGATGAGAAATATTCTTGTGCTAGGATTTAACTATTAGTTGCTTGAGAGTTAGGGAATATTTCTAGTTCTCAGAATACTTGAAATACCTGAATTGGTGGACATGAGGTCCTATATAGGACTTCAGAGAGAGAGCCTGTCAACTTTGAAATGCGAAGTCTTCAAATTCTAGAATAGCTATTTCCCTAGTAGTTTGCCCTGGTAACAGAAATACTTCAGCTTGCCAAAATGGGGATGCTTTTTTTCTGCATTCCTTCTAATCATGGCTGTTCTCTTAATATAGTAAAGAAAAGTTTAAGTTGGTACATGTAGTTCTGTTTAATATAAGGAATTGTGTCCATTGAAGACATGAGATTACTAGCTACGTAGAGATTGATGTCTGGTGTTTTCAAACACTACATTGTGATTGCAACTGATATGGATTATTTTATTTTATTTTCCTGATTAATTTTATTCATTTAATCTTACTTAGCACACCCATGTCCCATTTAGTGAGAGAGGTATACCAAATTTCCAGAAGTAGAATTACTAGATCAGTATCTGGGACAAATGAACCGATTTTTTAATGTCTGCAAATAACATTAAAGTGAATAATTTCTGGTACTCTTTTTAAGATTAGGATAGAATATGAAGTGATTTTGCAAATTGGGAAAGTGTTTATCGTCCAAAGTGCATAGTTAAAAGATGGTCGATATTATCAGGGCACAGGAGAGACCAAAAAGGACTGGAAATTACATTTGACTATAAGCTATGTCTATATTCAACAGCATATTAATATTTTTGAAAATCAAATATGACAACAGAGATTCTATTTAAACAGAAGGGTGATGTGCTTTTTTCTTTAGCTCCATCATAGCATGAGGTAAATATTAAGATTCCTTTAGTTTTTTTTTAAATGTTATTTAGCTTAGGGGAACAAAAGAATAAGAAGGGTCCTTTCCCAATTCTAATTTTCTCTATGGTTCCTTTTTTACTTTTCCCATGTAGATTAGAGTCATACATTATCCTTAAGTAATGGCAGCCTGACCTGCAAGATAAAAAGGCTTAGTTAAATTCTATATTAAACATGACTTTCTTAGCATTCTGCCTTGATATAGCTAAGAGAATAATTAATAGGAGAATGTTTGTAATTTCTTCACTTTGAAACCTGAACAAAAGAAATGAATTGTAAACAGTTGAAATTGCATTAAGAAAGTGTGTCTGGACTGTAGAAGAGACCGTGCAGTATCCTAACTGTGAGCTAGGCTCTGCAGTGAAGATGCCTGGGTTTGAATCCAAGCTCTGACTCTTTTTGTGCTTTTTCTCCTTTATTAAACAAGGATGCTAATAGTCCTTTATTACTGGGTTATGAGGTTTAATTCAGTAAATTATGCTAGCACATCCTTGGAATCTAGTAAACTCACATCAAATGTTAGCTATTCCTTTTTTAAAAAATTATTTTCTTGCCAGCAAGGATTCTAAAGATTATTCTTTAATTACCAAAATAAGTCTTTACAACCTCTTTACCTGAAATCTTTAAGAATCCATTACAATTCCAGTTGTTTTCTTCTTACCTGCTTACGTGGTTGCTACCTCTCCCTCTCATGCCTTGGCAAAGGTGAAAATTTTTGTGTTCATCTTTCTTCGGAAGGGCTTGTCACACTGTGCAATTGAGTTCTCCTGGTTGGTTTGCCAAATCAGCTCATTTTTTGAAGATGGCTTCGAGAAATGTTACGATTTTTTCCATATTTTAAATGACATTTCTTGCGGTATTCTATCTGTATCCTAAGCTGAATTCTACCTGTACATGAAATCTTTAAGCATGAAAATAATGATAATCTCCGGAAATGTAAATTTTGATTGATTGGAGGGTAGAAAATTGTTGACTTTCATCACTCATGTCTAGTTCTGATTCTTCTTTATTATTAGGATCTTGAGTTTTCTCCTACTTTTTATTATTTCACATAGCTGAGTAAAGATACACATTTTAAATTAACAGTCTGATTCTGATGAATCATTTTATTCTAGTTGGAAATTTTTCATTCAACTTCAGAATCTTTGATAAAATTTTTGCCTGTTCAGTTGCTACCAATCTTCCCTCCATTCCTTCCTTCTTTTCTTCCTTCCTTCCTTTCTTCCTTCCTTCCTCCTATCTTTTCCTTATCTCTTTTTTGAAAATATTTGTAATGCTTCAAAATTGTCTTAGTTTCTAAATTTTCCTCTTACAGTATGTTTAGCCTGACAAACCATTATCAGTCATAAAATACTTAGGAAACAGTACTCTAAGTCAGTAACATTAACATGCTAATTATGAAAGGCATTTGAAAGTAATATTCTATTATATCTTGATGATTAGGAAAAGACTGAGTTGGATTTTAAATGTTTAAGATTTTCAGAACTGGTATTTTGAAAGGTAGACTGTCTATATGTCAGGCACTTAAATTTGAATGAACTAGTTTTTTTTTTTAAAGATTTTATTGGGAAATTGGGGGAAGGGAAAGACAAGTTGTTGTTTTTCGGTCTTAGTTGTGGAGGGCGCAGCTAGCTCAGCTCCAAGTTCAGTCTCCATTCGGCCATCCAGCAGCAGCTCAGGGCAGCTCCGCTCAAGGTACTCTGTTCAGTCTCAGTTGCGGGTGGGCATAGCCCACCATCCCATGCAGAAGTTGAACCGGCAACCTTGTTGTTAGGAGCACATGCTCTCACCAGCTGAGCCATCCTGCCACCTGTTGGCAGCTCAGCAGCAGCTCAGCTCAGGCGTAGCTCACTGGCCCATGTGGGAATCGAACCGGCGACCCTGTTGCTCAGAGCTCGTGCTCTTAACCATCTGAGCTACTTGGCTGGCTCCTGAATGAAATAGTATTTTGACTTTGAGTAAAATCTACTTTTGCTACTGTGGTGTTAATGCCAACCTATGATAACTTTAAATCTCTTTTTCATTTGTAATCATATGGCACTGAATTTTGATTTCTCTCCAAATTTTAGCAATTTCTTTTATTTTTGTCATTTAACCTACACACATTAATATTTGAAGAATACTCATAGGTCCATTATTGTGGTCAGAGGCATATTTCGCCTTTGAGTATATTTTTGCACAGCTGCACGTATATACAGTTCAGCAAATGATCCATTTTGATCCACCTCTATTTGATCACAGGCCTAGAAGAATGGGCTTTTCTATATGACACTGAGGTGTCAAATGCACCTTCTTATCATGTCTCTAAGAGGTGTTCTGCCTCTTCACAATGGTCAGATGAAGCAGTGGTGTTTGGCTATCTGCAGACCTAGGGACATAATCCCAGTTTGTCATCGGAGGCAAATGGAGCAGTTTCTGTGAGCAAAGATCACTTTTTTTTTTTTTTGTAGGAATGAAGGTGGACCAGGCTGTGGTAACCACAGAGAATGAGAAGAAAAAGCACTGGGTATCTATTCATAGTTTCTTTGCAGGGTGGGGAAGACCATAGGGTAAAGCTATGTTTTGAGACCTCTGAGGCTACTAGTTATCCTCTAGAAGCACATGATAGGAAAGAGATGGAGATTAGCAGCAAGCATTTATTGAAGATCCACTCTGTGCCTGGCACTCCTATTTGGTGTTTTATCTTTCATTCGTAGAAATCTGTGTGAAGTAATTATCCTCATTTAACAGCTTAAACTGCATAAAGTTATACAATTAGTAAACAGTTGGGATTTGGAACCCAGGTTTACCATGGTATAATACAACATTTGTATTTTAAAATACTTGTAATTTTAGGCACTTAATAACACCACAGCAAAATTTTTCATTTTTTAGTTGCTATATGTTCTACCTTCATATTATTGTATTGATTTTTAAATAATCTTAAAATTTCAAAATAATACACGTTCATTATTTAAAATAAAAAATACAAGAAAGCACAGGGAACGTGGAAGTAATCTCTTTACTACTTTGTAAGAGCCACGGTTAGCATTCTGGTGTATATTGTCTGTGCATGTGTGTGTGTTTCTTGTTCCTTTTTTTTTTTTTTTTTAAAGCTGAGCCATCCTGCCATCTGTTGACAGCTCAGCGACAGCTCAGCTCAGGCCAGGAATCGAACTGGCGACCCTGTTGCTCAGAGCTTGCACTATTGAGCGAGCTCTTAACCAGCTGAGCCACTCGGCCGGCCCCATGTCCCTTTTGACATCTCTAAAGTGTCTCTCTGGATCTCACCTTTCTTCTAGGCGGGTGGAATCTGGTGGATTCCTTTAATCACTGTCTGCAATGGTGTGTTTCTGTTATGTAGCCAGTGCTTGACGCAGGACGGATCACTGTTCCCATCTGTCATTGTCAGGTTAGCAGGATTAGTGATTTAGGAAACCCTTCGCTGCTTTTCTCAAAAGGCAATGAACAACTATAAGACCAGTGAATATTTTTAAGACTTCCTGGACTATTCCGTACAAACATTTAAGCTGTTTCTATGTTTTCATGTTTAAATAATGCTGCTGTGAAAAATAACATTATAGATACATTTTTGCTCCCATTTAGGTTTTTCTTTATTTGAAAAGGAATTGCTAGGATAAAGAGTATGTACCTTTTTTAAGGTCTTTGATACATATTGTCAGGTTGCTGTCCTCCCTGGCAATGAGTGTTTTTTTTTAATAAACCAAACTTGAGTTGTCCAATCTTTGTTTATTTTTATTAGATTTCAATTGACAGTTATTTTACGAATTTAATATACAAATAACTGAATCAGATGGAGAATAAGGAATTCCTAGCTTTGAGCAGAAAAATAATCATTGAAATAACCAAAACAGGCTATAGGAATTCATAAGGGTCCTTGGAAAGTGCTATCATTCTGGAATGTTAAAAAAAGAAAAAATTCTCCCTTGAATTTAAGTACAAAGTCAAAGATACAGACTTTAAAACTATTATTTTCTCATGTCAGATTAGGGAAACCCCAATTTTAATCTCCAATTTCATGGGACCACCTAGGCCGAATTTTGTGTCAAAACAAGGCATCAGGAGTTCAACTTGAACAAAAATAGATTGTGTGGTAAAAAGAATAATAGACCCATAAGGATATCTAGGCTTTAATCCCTGGAACCAGTAAATATGACTAGATTGTCCTGGTGGGCACAGTGAGATCAAATGAGCCCTTAAAAGCAGAGCTTTTTTCCAGCTGAAGGTGGAAGAGAAAATCAGATTCCAAGAATGAGAAGGATTTGACAAGCCACTCATTGCTGCCACATGCAAAGACGGGAGAGAGGCCTCTAAAACTAAGGGCAAATGCCAGCTGACAGCCAGCAAGGAAACGAGGATCTCATCCCCATAACCGTAACAAACGGAATTTTGCCAGCAGCCTGAATGATCCTAGAAATGTATTCTTCCCCAGAGTCTCCAGAGAAGAACACAAATCTGCTGACACCTTGATTTCAATTTTGAGAACTCATTTGAGCCACACTATGCCTGAACATCTGACCCACAGAAACTATGAGGTATTTGATCCACATAAACTATGAAATATGGGTGTTGTTTTAAGCCACTAAGTTTATAGTAATTATTTACAGCAGCAATAGGAGACTAATACGGTAAGTATAGGGAAGCGATACAGCAAATCATTTCTTTATTACTAGATAGAGGATCCATAATTCTGTTTACTTTTCTATAACATTTTAAAGTACGGCCTATGAATCAGACTAAAAAATTGGCAGCCATTGTAAAAAAAATATTAGCTAGTGGCAAGTTTATAACATGTGGTTAGCTTATGGCCATAATCTTACCATAACCTAGCTATTATTGATATCTGTATATATTTCATTGTTGTCTTAGTCTTTTTTATGCAGATTATAAAAAATGTGTGAATCTAGTTTTTCAATTAATTTTCTAATGTTATTAAATGATCTTAACAAACCTCACTTCTTATACTTCAGTAATATTCCATCATTTGGTTCTGCCATACTTTAATTAGCATTTCTTTGGTAGTCTCTGAGAGTCTTTTTTTCTATGATTGTCATATTCCTTCCACTGGACAATTCCAGGCAAATAAACATCTAGGTCAAACCATAAAGGAATTTTCAGATAATAATTATGTCAAATTCACATTGAATAATATTTTTTTTAAAGCTGGATCTTGAAGCTGGTCACATTTTTCACCAGCACATCTTCTGTCAAGCTATCGTGTCGCCTAACCACTTAATCTGTTCTTGGCTTAAAAATAATTTGTTTCTCCCTCCCTCGTTTTAGAGAATTTTAAGTAATGGGTTATGGGTGACTTAGAAAACTTTATTTTATGAAATATCTGATTTCCTAGGATCTAGTCAATAGTGTATTTGTATAAAATATTCTATTAGGGTTTATAACATTAAGGAACAAGCTCCAAATGACACTATATTGAAACTGTTCACATCTACTAGTCTTATTTTGTAATATTTTTAGAACTAGTGTAATTTTGGTTAAAATAACTTTTCCTAAAGATATAATTTATGTGAAATTTTAAGACATGCTTTAAAAAATATATATAAGAAATTGAAAGTAGGAATTTTCCTTTTCATCTTATTCATAGCCCATTGTAAAGCCTGACAAGTTTTCCAAAGAATTTATTAATACATTAATAAACAAATATTTAGGAAATTTCCAAGTGGTCATTTCCTATGTTAATAATGCGTTGTTTTTTTTTTTTTTCGGTTTACAGATATGATCCAGTCCTCTGCGTGAATTACTTTGGTTAGTCAGAGTGAATATTCAATAATGAGTGGTGCAGCTTTGGGACTCGAGATTGTTTTTGTCTTTTTTTTGGCATTATTCCTACTTCATCGATATGGAGACTTTAAGAAACAGCATAGACTTGTAATTGTTGGAACACTGCTAGCTTGGTATCTCTGCTTTCTTATTGTCTTCATACTGCCTCTGGATGTTAGTACGGTAAGAAGTGAAACTGACTTTCCCTATTTAAAAGGCAACTGTACTCATACAGCATGTTTGAGATATGTTCTTAAGACAGCTAAATTATGTAAAGTTATACTTATATTTTGAATTTAAATATTACTATATGAATTTGATCATTAAAAAGTATAGCCAGGAAGATAATTTGAGGTGGATAGGTTGATACCCTCCAATATCCCTTAAGTACTTTTGGTTTTTATTTTTTAATCATGCATTCATTGCTTTAGACAATATACAACCGGTGCAAACATGCTGCTGCAAACTCAAGCCCTCCTGAGAATAGCAACATTACAGGATTGGACTCACCTCCTACCCCAATTCCAAGGTATTTTCTTTCTTTTCTTCTCTTTTCTTTCTCCCTCCTTTTTCCCCTCCTTTGTTTGTTTGCTTCTTGATATTGTAGAAGGCAAATTGTGTAAAAATTGTCAGTTTTTACCATCTGGATTTTATATTTATAAACGTTTATCCTCATTCTCTTCCCTTCTTCCCCCAACTCAATCCTTTGCTAGTAGATTTTGTTACTTTGTATTCTGTTTAAATTTAAATCTGAAGTAAATTTAAATATTTATTGGTGTACAAGGCCTTCCAGTATATGTTGATAAGAACTTGAAGAAGGCCTGATTTTTTTAGTCCTAGTTCTACCCCTTACAAAGATGTGATTTCAAAAAGCTATTTTTCCTCTCAGCCTCTCTCCAGTCTAAAAAATGTGGCATGCTTTTTCTCTTTTATCTAATATACAAGGTAATAATAAAGGACAAGGAAGTTATTCTGCATGTAGGATATTCCTTTCATATTGCACATCCTTTAAAATCACTATAGTTTTAGACTGAGAATGAATAAAAATCAAATTATTAACAGGTTATATTGAATTCATGTCAAACTTCCAAATAAAAAACTAATAATCGTTGACTGTAGCTTTTATTAAGGCTTTAAGTAGTATTTGCGTACTTCTTTATGCAGCTTTTATTTTATTTTTTAAAAATCTAACCTGGATAAGGGCAAATTTAAAATGTGGATGTTACTCCCCATTGAACCACCATTAAAAATTGGGTATAGATCAGCAGCAATTATGGATTATTGGAAGCCCTTGGACTGAAGGATATCCTTACAGCCTGGGAAGACTGACTATTAATGGAAAAATCTATGGTCAGATATACATATTTTTAGAAAATTCTAACAGATTATGTATATATGCTGGCATCTATCTCCATAGGAGCTTTGCTGTGACTGATTAGTTAGCATTCCAGTTTCCAGGAATTAATCACCTAATGTTTTTCTCCTTCCTGTTCCCCTTCCCCAAAATAACCAACTCCACAAACAGGATGAGAGTATATTTTAAAAGTAATCATCAGTTTTAAAGGTAATCATATCAGAGATTTGTTTTCATGATGCATATTCTTTTAAAGACTATTGCATTATTAGTCTATTATATGAACATTGTGTTCTCAAACTGTTTTGTTCCCTTTGCGTATGTTTTTTTAGTTTGACAGTCAGCTTTGAATTTGTTTTCTATGAAATTTTACAAGAGTCAATAATTTAAAATTTGGATGTAAATAAACTTTGCCATGTACAAATTAATTATATAATTCATTTAAGTAGTCATCATTTATGATTAATTTGCTTTAAATTGTTATTAAACAGCCATCATCCGTGTTTCAAGCCATGGAGTTACATTCCTGATGGAATCATGCCAATTTTCTGGAGGGTAGTATATTGGACATCACAATTTTTAACATGGTAAGTGGTAGTAAAGGATAAAATTTTTTAAATTTGGCTTAAATTAAAAAGGTGATTATTTTTTCAGTGAACCTTCATATTTTAGAATTTATTCAAGTGTTGCTTATTTTTTCCCTTAAATTTGGTTCCCCCTCCTTTTTTGCTGTTCAAAGTCCTCCCAATTGAAAAAGAAAAGAGAAGAAAAAAACAAAAAGGAAAAGGAAATTAGAAAAAAATTTTCCTTGTCATCATTCTCTTCCAGGTTTTACTTCCTTTCTTGACCTTCAGTTCAGTCTTCCAGCTCCATTATTATGTGAAACTGCTTTTGCTAAGGTCATCATTATTCCCTGGCTTTCTTTCTATCTGCTTAGCCCAACCTTCTTAGCCCATCCTTCATGGGCTCTATTTCTGTGGTCCATTACCTAAATGTTGGTGTTTCCTGGGGTCCCATGTTTGCTCATCATTGTTATTTGACTCTTTCTGCATAGCTTTAATTGTAGCCATGATTTCAATGACCTGTGATGCATTCCAAATCTTTTTTTCTATCTACTATAGCCTTGTATTTCTGCTGTGCTCCAGACTCACACTTTATCTGTTATCCACTGAGCATTTCAGATATTCTTCAGGCAACTAAGCTGTAAACATTGCAAGAGAAAATTCACGAAACAGAGTAGTGTGCCTGTAAATTCATGTTCATTGAATTCAACTGGGTCCTCAACATTGCCAGACTTCCCTCCTTTTTTTCTCTAGTCTGCTTGCTCTCCATTCTCCATAACAAATCTTTCTAATTACTTCAAACCTCTGCTGTTCCCCTTGTAGCTCTCTCTCTGTCACTCTGTCTCTCACATCCTAGAAACATTACCTTCTTTTCTTGAACATCTTTACTTACTACCTCACAGTGAAAATAGAAGTCATCAGATGGCAGCTCTTGCAGCTTCTCACTAACAAACTTACCTACCTATGTACCCATCCTTTCTTCCTTCCCCACCCAGAATGAAAGAGCCACTCTTAAAATTAATCCCTCTTCCTGAAATATGGACTCATCCCCTTCAGTTCTTGTTACCTATATACTTACCTATACTTGTGCAAAGCATGCACATTCTCTCATCCTTAAAAAACAAATAGAAAGTCTCTCAAATCACAACCCTTTCCAGCTTTCTATCTTCTACCTCAATGATATGCTCCTCATTACAGCTAAATTTTATATTTTGGAGACTTACTGAAGTATAAATTAGTACAGAAAAGTGTGTTTAGTTTTACTTTTTTCAAAGTGAACACACCCATATAACCAGCACTCAGATGATGATAAAGAACATTAACAGTGTCCCCAGAAGTTTCCCTCATACCCCTCTCCCAGTCATTACTCTCTCCAAAGGGAACCATGACTCTGACTTCCATCACCATTAGTTTGGCCTGTTTTTGAACTTGATAAACATGGAATTATACGGTATGTACCTTTTTCCCTCTCTCATTTTTTGCTTATATATTTGGAAGATTCTTCCATGTTGTGTTATATGTAGCAGTATTCTTTTCTTTTTCGTTCCTCTGAAATATTCCATTTTATGAATATATCATAGTTTATCCTACCCAGTCAAAGTTCTTAAATGAATGGTCTGTATTTAGTGTCTCCATTTGCTCACTGCTTACTTTTTCCTCAACCTACTGAACTGTTTTCTACCCTCACTTCTTCACTCATACTTACACATTCTTAATTAACTTGACCTCTTGGCAGGATTTGATTCTATTGTTTTCTCTCTAGTTGCAAACACTTCCTTCTGGTTTCTACTCCATACGTACTCCTTAGTTTTCTTCCATGCCTTTCTACTGTTCTGTCTCAGTCTCCTTCCTCTCCTGTTCCTCTGCCTCTCCTTTAAAAGTAGGTATTTCTCAGGTGTCAGTCTCGCTCATTTCCTTCTCATTCTACATACGCACCCTTCCAGATCTCATCTATTGATATACTTTATCACCACTGACATGGCCATGACTCTGAATCTATCTGTATTTCTAATCCTGTATCCTGAACTCTGAAGCTGGTGAGCCGCATACTTCCTGTGCAGCTCCTTTGGGATGTGTCCTAGGCACTTCAAAATCAGCATATTGACAACCAGTCTTCTCCCCTCCTTTTTACCACACCACCGCTCCTTACCCTCTCCCACATAGTTTCAGTTGTATTCCCTTTAAGTCCATTCTCCACACTGAAGCCATATCAGTCTTTAGAAAACTAAAATTTGATCATATCTTCTTTCTGTTAAAATAAATAATGATTCCTCATTATTCTTTGGATACAGTCTAACCTCTTCATAAAGGTTTTAAAGTCCTTTTTTTTGCCTTATATAATTCACTCACACTGTTGTATTCTCTGCTGGTCGTTGTGGCCTCCTTTGCTCCCAGGAATGTGCTTTTTTCTCCCTTGAATTTAATATTACAAAAATTTTCAACCATCTCTTACAGTTTGTTTGGTATTAATAATTACTCAAAATCATATTTGTTTGTGAAAAGAACTATACTTTAAAATTGAGGTTCACACATTTCCAGTATTTTGAGATTATACAGACATACCAAGTGTTTTTTAATCATATTCTTTCCAACTGTCTAGGATTCTGTTACCTTTTATGCAGTCATATGCAAGATCAGGAGGGTTTTCCATCACTGGAAAGATAAAAACTGCACTGATTGAGAACGCGATCTATTATGGCACCTATTTGCTGATTTTTGGAGCATTTTTAATTTATGTAGCTGTAAACCCACATTTGCACTTAGAATGGTAAGAAAATCATGTTCTTAACGTTGTTTCTGTATATATTTCCATTTTTAAAATTAATTTGTAGATCATATATATATATATAGGTAAACAGACATTTCATTTAGAAACATATCAAATTATATGCTTTATAGATTCCCCAAAAAGAATATCTGAATAATCTGTATTACTAAGAAGGAAATATGGAATAGTATATTTAAATATAGCTATTACACAAAGGACTCATGCTTTTGTCTAATAGCCATATGTTAAAAGTATTAACCCTCATGATTTTTTTTATAGGCTTTCAAATTTTGTATGTGACAAAATTTCTAGTTTTCTTTTTCATTGAAAATTGTTAATATTTTTTCTTTTGTTCTGACTATAGTTTGAGAACATATTTCTTTTTAATGTTAGATTTAGATGTTGCAATAAAGTGAAGTCAATATTATATTCGTGATCTGTAATATATATGAAGAGCTAGATCTGAAAAATTTAGGAATAGATCAGTAGTGATAATCCTCACTGTTTCATTCCTGAGATTTGTGTAGGTCTGCCTCAGCACAAGTAAATTTTTCAGGCTTTAAAATTTTTTCAGACTTCTCTTGGTTAATATTGAATAAGAAAGCACCTAATGAAAAATATGTTTCCTTCAGGATAATTTTTCTCGTGAATGATTTTTATTTTAAAATTTCATTAACTATGATAGAAGCAGTGTTTCCTATGTTAAAGCTTATTTCTACAGTCACATTCTAAGTTTTCATTAAAACACACAGATTATATGCTGTTACTGAAAGGGTAGCTGAAGCTATGAGGGTCTAATTTTTTCATATAAAATTTTAGCCATCCTTTAGAGTGGTTGTTTTCTGGAAAACCATTTAACACTAGGTAGTTTCATTTTACATTTTTGTCAGAAAAATTAATCTATCATAGCTATGTTTTCTCTCTTTTAGGAACCAGCTTCAGACAATTGGGATAGCTGCTGCAAATACATGGGGTCTATTTCTTCTTGTGCTATTGTTGGGGTATGGCTTGGTGGAAATTCCTCGGTCATATTGGAATGGAGCAAAAAGAGGTTATCTACTTATGAAAACTTATTTTAAGGCAGCCAAATTGATGACAGAGAAAGCAGATGCAGAAGAGAATTTGGAAGATGTAATGGAGGTAAGCAAATTTTAAACCTTACCAATCAACAGCAAGTTGCGTGTATCTCCTTTGGGATACACTGTTGAATTGATGGGCTTTAGACTTGGCAATGTGCAATCCTTAATGATGTCTCATCCATTTGGATGACTTCTTATTGACAGCTCAGCTTAATGACCTGTCATCTCTATATTCTAACTGAATATATACAGGGAGAATATATTCAGCAGTGCAGGGTTATGCTTATTGTCCTTGGGTAACTTCTAAGAGTGCCTTCTTTTACTCCCTGAAGTCTCTCAGATTAGGTGATAAGTTATATGGTTACCCTGATATAGTGGAAGTGAAAATTAGCAATCAGAGGACACTTCTTCCTGAAACTTTAACCCAAAGTAATCCCATCAAATCTGGAAACCTCTGTAGAAAACAATTTACATGGGAATTTGTATCAATAACTTTTCCCATCTGTAATCTTAATAAGTCACTTCATTTTACCTGTAAAATGCAGATGATTTCAACCAACTTCACAAAGATGTTGAAAGTATACGTTTCAATAATATACGTAACACAAAACCACATGCCAAATTATAAAATTTTGTTGTTAAATAATCATTTGGTTATTGATTGAAAGCGAGATTATTGTCACCTCACATTTTGCTCTTCTGGGAAAACATGCTATTGTAATGACGTTACTCTCCAACTTAAAACCTCATGTTGAAGGCTTTTCATTCATGTTAGAGTAAGCTCCAAAATGTTTTAATATGGCCTACCGAAAAATGATTTGATCCATGTTTAGCTCTCCACCCTTATCTCTAGCCTCTATCTTCCTCACCCGGTCAACTTTGGTTCCTCAAACTTGCTAATGATAATGAAATAGTAAACAATTATATAGACTTAAATTTGCCTAAGTCTCAGCTTTGGTTCCTCAAACTTAATAATGGTGATGATAATGGCAAACAAGTATATAGACTTATTAACAACTTTCTAAGAACTTTACATATATTAACACATTTAATATTAACAGCCTTATGAGGGAGATTTTACTAATCCCCATTTTATAAATGAAGAAAACAAGGCACACAGACAGAGGTTACGTAAGTTTCCCATATTCACACAGCTAGTGAGTGGTAGAGCCAGGCAGTCTGATTTTAATTCATGCTTTAATGGGGATTGGCAAGCTTTCTGTAAAGGGCTAGATAGTAAATATTTTACTCTTTGTAGGCCATATGGTCTCTGTTGCAACTACTCTGTCACTGTAGGATGGAAGCAGCCACATACATAAATAAATGAATGGCTGGACGTGTTCCAAACCAGAACAGGTGGTGGGCCGGATTCGATCTGGTTTGCTGACCCCTGCTCTTAACCATTACATCCACTGCCTCTCTTCTCTGCCTTTGAGCATGATATTCCCAAACCCTTGGAATGCCCTTTTCTCCACTCTCTTCAGCTAATTCCTACTTCATTTTCAGGTCTCAACATAAGTGGAGAATTCTTCAGGGAAGCAAGCCTTCTGTACTAGTTTCCTACGGCTGCCATAACAAAGTACCACAAACTGGGTGGCTTAAACTACAGAAACATATTGTGTCACAGTTCTGAAGGCTAAAAGTCCAAGATCAAGATGTCAGAAGGGTTGGTTCCTTCAGAGGACTGTAGGGAACATCTCTACTGTGCCTCTCAACTTCTGGTGGTTTGCCGGCCGTCTTTGGTGCTGCTTGGCTTGTAGATCTCTGCCTTCATATTCCCATGCTGTTCTCCCTGTGTGCCTGTCTGTGTCCAGATTTCTCCTTTTTATAAGGACACAGTCTTACTAGATTAGGGGCCCTCCCTACTCCAGTATGACCTTATCTTAGTTTAAGTAATTATATCTGCAACAATCCTACTTTCAAATAAAATCACATTTTTCTGGGGTACATAGGATTGGGACTTCAATATACGAATTTTGGAGGAGACAGAATTCAAACCATAACATCTTCCCTGGTCCTCCAGACTCTTAGAAATTCGGCACCCATTTTTAAGTGAATGAATAAATGAACAAAAGAGTGTATACTTGAAAATTTTTATGTTGACTTTTCAGTCAACATAAAATGTAATTGTATTTATTCCCTATGAAATATAAGAACTGTAGCAGAAAACATTGATTCAAAATGTAGGAGTAAATCTCCTATAAATAGTAATCTATTATATTTCCTCAGGCATATGATGGATACTACATTTTTAAAAGGATAATTTATATTTGATAATTTTTATATCTGAAAATTTGAATTTTTTTGAAAAAATATTTGAAAATTTATATTTGATAATAAAATAATTAAAAGAAGATCATTTAAGTTGATAGTGTTCCCCTCAAAAGTTGGTGTCAAGTTCAGTTGTTTCAGATTTAAGGAATATGGGTTTCACCAGCTCATTCAGTATTCAGCAAATGTAAATCCTGTTTGTTACTCGAGATCTGGATTTTGCTAGGAGGAATCTTCAGTGTCTGAATAATGATAGGTTTTGGTTTTTTTTGTTGTTGTGAAGCAGGAACCCTCTACTTAGGAATAGGATGTGGAAAAGTAAGGATAGGTAACTGTGCCTTTGCTGTTTTACAATAGGTTTAAGGTGTGAGGGATTTTAAAAGTTTTAGCTAGGAGAACATTTTTCATATATATAAGAAACCACTCTTTTTTATTGCATATATTTAACATGTAGCATCATGTAAGTTTAAGGTATACAAAATGTTAATTTGATACACTTATATATTGTAAGAAACCACTCTTCTTGGTAGATGTTTTGAAAATAGCAAGTCTACATAGATAGCAGGAGAATTCCAGCTTCATTTTTCTTCCCTCAAAAAATGCATGCCATGTATGAATTTTTTTGTCTAAATATTGGGTTATTGGAAAAGTCATGATGCATTTTTGCAATGAAAAACATAGAAAAAATATGTCATGACATTTCCAACAACCCAATATTTCAAGGGAATTTGGGGCCTTTTCTGTCTTTCTAAATATCTAAAAGTTTACAAACTTTAGAAGAAATTTTTTTCATTATTTAATATTTATTGTCTTCCTCCCGTGTTAAGTGCTCTGCGGAACTGGCCATTAGGATACTACCTAGAGTGGAACTTGTACAGTCCTTTACAGTTTATGATAAATGTGACGTGAATTATACAAAGGAAATGCTCTAGTATAAAGAGGTTTCATGTCTGAGTAACGATGAGAGGAGAAGGTGAAATATGACCTGGGTCTTGAAGGATGAGTAGAATTTTTTATAGATGGCAGCCTCCTGGTCAGATATCAGGATGTTTTAAAACCAGATTAATTGAGTGTGAGGTTTATGTTGGAAAGAAAAGCTTGTAAGCTTTGAAAGAGGTTTTTGTCTAATAGGGGGCCTTAGATGTCAGACTGAAAAGTTCAGGCTATATTTTGAAAGCAGTGAGAAATCATTGACACCTTGCAAGCAGAGCAGAGACATGATCCTATGGTATAGGATGACCAATCTGATGGAGGTGTGCAGAGTAAAGCATGGAACAAGAATATGAATAATTTACTTTGAGAGAAAACTTTTAAAATACACTGGTTTTGAATACATCTTTTAACAGACCACAAAGTTCAGGCACTTTTTTTTTTTTTGGTCATTATTAATTGTACTTTTCATCTAACCATAAAATCCTCCAAATGCAGTTTTATAAAAACCAATTTAGTGTTTTGATGTTTCTCTTTGAAGTGATTGTATACATCTGTGTGTCTATTAATTTTCTTTGAAGCATTAATAAAACTCATAAGCCATGTCAAACCATACAAAAAGGCATTTGCTAGATGGCCTAAGAAGTCATCTCTACCTTTTGTCATTTTTCGAGGTAGAGGATTTTGTAGAGGGAGAAACAGCTAGCTATTTCTACTGAAAATTACCTGTTAGCCTGACTTAATGGATGTTGTCTGGCCTTCCAAGTAAAGAATTGATTAGGCACAGTATTGACAGAGCTCAGAGTTATGTTATTTTTTATGAAGAAAATAAGCTAATATTTCAAATACTTTGCACACTTCATAAAATTGCAAACTTTTGAAGGAAACTTAATTATTTAACATATAACAAATATCAATAGTTGACTATTTCAGTACTTATTTTGGTTTAATATAGCTAAAGAATATAAAGGAAAATTATGATATTTCATGTATAAAATATAACCAGAATGTATAGTTCATATTCAAAGGTGCTGACAAGTCAATAAAACTTTAAGGCAGCTTAGTAATGGAAAATTGTAATGTAATGATGCTTCAAGCACCTTTAAAAATCCCAATTGTTGTCACTCTGTGTTCAGGTCTCACACATTGGCTTCAAAATAAACTGTTTAATTAAGGACTTCTGGAGTGCTTTGCTCGTACGTCTTCATCCTGATCAAATGCTTCTCAGACCCTTACTCTTCTTTCCCTGTAGTCACACTGGATTTCTTCCTTGAAATTCCTTGTTCATTTTTGCTTGAAAGCCTTCTTACATGCTGTTTCTCTGTCTAGAATATTCTGACCCCTTCCTTTGGTGGGCTGACTTCCTACTCATGCTTTTTATCTCAGTTTCAATAATCAGTTCATCATAAAGTCTCCCACACTAAGTTATACAGCAGTTTCCTTATCATTTCTATTTGAATAATGTGTTTTCCTCATTAAGCTATACTCCTTAACAGGAGCAATGTCTTTGGTACAGATTATTTATAGGGTCTTCATATTTAAAAATTTGATGGATATTGCCAAATTACCTTCCACATTTTACTGTGTATAGGGGTTCCTGTTTTCCCACCATCTTAGCTCATTACATGATATCTTTTTTTATAATTTTGTAAGAAATTGTTCTCAGTTTAAAATTTGTAATTGTTTTTAGTGAGTTTGAGTATCTGTTCAGACATTTATTGGCCAATTGTATTTCTTCTGTGTTTTTCCAGAAGTGTGTGTGTGCAGACACTCTCCATATATTGATAATTATATATTTTGTCATATAAGTTATAAATTTTTTTTATAACTTTGTCTGTATCCCGGATGGTTTCTCTGCCTCCAGTGTTGTATACCGTAAGGCCATTCTCTACCCTACAATCAGAGCTCTCTTTGATAGTTTGGTCAGTTCTCTCTTGCCTTCTAGCCTTTGAACATACTGTTTATTCTATCTAGAACAGTGGTTCCATCTTTTTAAATATTTCATTAATATTATACAATATTATGATTCTTTTAGAACTACTGGTTCTAAAAAGTCCTCTCCCTAACACTTGTATGCCTTTCATACTCATTAAATTGCTTTTTAAATTATTTCATCACTAGACTCTAATCTTAGTCAAAGACTTATAACACCATGTCTCCCCACCCTATCCTCCAGTATGGAGTGTGGAGACATTACACACAGCACAGTGCTGGCCTATAGTGTGCTTTTATTAAAAATATGGACTGAATCTTTAGCTGTGACTGCTATGGAGTGTTCTCCCATTGGAAAGGAGCAGGGTTTGAGACATTGCTAACCTGTTCTGCTTGCTTTGTTTTCTTCACTGTATTTGAGATAATGAGAGAATTCAACTTAATGACCAAGGTGAAGTAAAACAGTCCTGTTCTTTTAGGATCACAAAGTTTGTCTGATCCTTCATGGCTTTTTTTATAATGCTTATAATCTTTGTGTACCAAGTGAGCAAATGATAAGGGAGTAAATCTAGAAAGTAATTAAAAGTGTGAGGGTACAGATATAGCTATTGTATAACTTAGTACATATTTTTTCTTGTCCTCTTTTTTATTCAGTGAATGGAACCTCATGTATATGCTAAGTAATTTGGGTTGAAGTTAAACTTGTGAACATATATATATATATATTTATATAATACCTAGAGAACATTCTTATTTGAAACACCTGATCAATAGAAATATTTTTATTTCTCTTACTGTTTTTATAGGAGGTTCGTAAAGTGAATGAAAGCATCAAGTATAACCACCCATTGAGAAAATGTGTTGACACAATACTTAAAAAGGTAATTAAATCATACTCTTTTCTATTTTCCTTTGAAATATAAATTTCTATAATATAATAAAAGCATTGGAAAAGTATGAGAACAGCCTATCACTGAAGTCTCCCCAACTCCTTTCCATTTTCATGGAAATATTGACCATAAACCAGTAGTAATGTGTACATAGAATTTATTCCTTTGTTATTACAAATTTAACATTACTTATTGGCAATATGTTCCATTGAAATGTGAGGACAGAGGTTATGTTAAGTAATGTATAATTATTGCCACGACACAACGATGGAGATGAGCCTTTACAGTTTGTAAACGTGTCATAGAATGTGGTCACTAAAGGCATATCTCCTATAAGAAAATAAAAAGGGCCTTAATAATCTGCTTCAGTCAGCTTCCTGCATGTCATTTTACAATATATTTCGTACATCGTAAAATGAATGACATTATAAGATGTTTAATACATATTTAGTAAGAAGCTATACAATCAAGGTTTTGATGTATTTTTATTGAATTAAGAGTATTCATATATTTCCAAAAATTATCATTCCAAAAATAAGTTCTCCGATTATCTTTTCAGCAACTACAGAACCATTGAACTATCTCTTCTCCTATATTTTAAATTTATTATACTGATTATTAGCTAGTATTCTTTTTGGCTAAGATAATAGTCATGAGAATCAATTCTCTAATCATTTCTCTCATATTTGCTACCTTTTGAGACCTATTCAGGAAAGTTAACTAACTTGCCTGAGTTCATATAGAGAATAAATGACTAGCAGTAGGACAGTTGACTCTAAATCATGTATTTTTCCTTTGTAATATCCTTTTAAAAAATTCAGCATCTTGGATTTGTTGTGATTCTTCTTCATTATTTAGCTAGGAAAATAATTGATAGTTTCATCAAGCACCTACCTAGAATAATCCTCTCAAATACTAGTTAATTCATGTAGGTGAGCTCCCCCGCCCTGGCCGTCCCCAGCTAGTACATCTGAGCACAAAGATTAATATTAATAGATGTAAGAGGAAACTCAATGCATCTTTTAAAACATTTAAAAAATGTCAGCAACTAAAATTCAGACTATTTAAAGATGACAGTAAAGGAAGATATTTTTAAGAAAATTAGAAATGACCAAGAATGAAGATTTTTAATAAAAATAAAATTTTTATCTTTTTGCAAATAAGATTTTTAAAAATCTACTTTTTCCTTTTAGTGTCCTACAGAATACCAGGAAAAAATGGGTAGGAACATGGATGATTACGAAGATTTTGATGAAAAGCATAACACCTACCCAAGTGAAAAGAGTCTGGTGAAACTACATAAACAGGTAACTTCATTAAAAATAGCTATTTTACGTACTGATGTTTTAGTTAGATCTATAATTATGGCCCACAAAAAAAGGAATTTTGAGTAAAATGTTTTTACTTCGTGTTTCTTGACCGGGGTACTATTGGCATTTGGAGAGGGAGAATTATTCACTAAACATAACTGTTAAACATGTTCTAGAATGTTAACATTTTTGGCCTCATCCAGTAAATGCCACTAGCGGTTCCCTGTTGTTGTGACAACCAAAACAACTCCTTAGTGGGGAGTTGAATCACTGTTGGATCAGAACACTGACAGATATATCCTCTGTTCTCTTTTGAAGGTTATTTATTCAGTTCAGAGGCACCGTCGAACTCAAGTACAATGGCAAATTCTTTTGGAACAAGCATTTTATCTAGAAGATGTTGCAAAAAATGAAACTAGTGCTACTCATCAGTTTGTTCACACCTTTCAGTCACCAGAGCCAGAAAATAGACTTGTCCAATATTTTTATAATCCTACAGTTGGTATGTAATTTGATATAAATTTCAAAGTTTAATGATGATAATTTTTCTGAGGGAAAATGTATATATTTTCACCAATGGAGAGTTTAATTGTATTTGTATTTGACTTATACCATCTGGTAAATTATGAATCTGACAAACTCCCCCCTCCACCCCAAACTACTTTACTTGTCATATAACATATTATCTATCAGTTTCTACTGTTACTTCACAGATAACCAAAACTCTATGCAAAAATATATGCAATGTATCAAGCATATTTTGCATACAGAATATATACTTAAAATAATTAGCATTTTAAGCAATTTTACAACACAATCTTAGGTCTCTCCTTTAGTCTTGACATACTACTAAAATATTTCCCCAAGAAGTCCTATTTATTTACATTCATTAGTCTATTTACAAAAGCTACACTCAATAGCCATGATTATTCCATTCTCCTTTATGATTATTTATGACACTTTCTTATCAAATTTAGTATAAAGAACTTAATGCAAATACCAGTGTCACAACATTAAAACTTCTGTTTACATTTTGTATTCAAATAAATGGTGATGATCACTTGATTCTCTTTTGCTTGTTTGGTCTTGAGTATAAACACAGAATGGCCGTAACAAATATATCAGAAAACTTCTTCAGTGAAGATCTTTTCTAATTAAATGAGGGAATGATGTGACACTTGTTTTCATTCATTCAACAAATATTCGAGCACATAAATGCTAGGTATTATTAGGTGCATGGTATAGATCAATGAACAAAAAAGACAAAAATGTCTGCCCTGGTGGAGTGAGAAAAACAGGCAATATACACATAAAGGTATAAATAAGATGTTGAGTGGGTAGTTGGCTATAGAAGGTGGAGTTCAGAGGAGAAGTCTGGTCTGCAAATATAATTAGGGTGTCATAATGGATAGGTGGGCCATGGATCAGGGTAAGATCAGTGAAGAAGTGTGAGATAGAGAAATAACCTGAGGACAGAGCGTGAGGCACTCCAAGGTTTAGACATCAGGTTAACCAGCAGAACAGACTAGAGAAGAAGCTGCCAGTGAGAGAGGAAAACAAGGACAGTTGAGTGTTTTGAGGAAAGATGTGTGTCAAGTACTTTTTCAAATGTTGCAGGTAGGTCGATTATCATGGATATTAAGAATTGACTGGATTTCAGAGAGGTGAAGTGGGGTGAGAGTAAAAAAACCTGAGTGGAGTTTAAAAAAAATAAGGAGAGCAGGTAGAAACAACATTAAGCATAGAAAATTTTCAAAATGTTTTTCTTATAACAGGTAATAGAGACAAGAAATACTAGCTGATGGAAGATGGCAGAGTCAAGGGAAATGATAGCTTGTCATATGTTAATGATATCTTAGTGGAAGTTTGAGGAGATAAAAGAGATTGGTCACATATAGGAGAGACGAAATGGGAAATCGTGAACAATGAAGAGAAAGGACTTATAATAGATTATTCAGGAGGTAAGACCCAAATGTACCTGAGCAGGTGAGAAGATGTAGTGGTGGAAATTTCGGGAGGTTTTTCTCTGTCGGCTTCTGTTTTCTCAGTGAAGTGCTGAAAGTAAGTATAGAGGAAGAGATTTTAGAGATTTGAAGTAAGAAGTTGCCAAATAGTTGCTTAGGAGATTGTGCATGGGAGGAAATTGGTGAGTTACAGTAGGCTAGCCAGGCAGTGCTCAAAATCCACTTGAAGCTGGTGATTAAGAATTTAAAGTGAGATGAGTCAATAAAGTTGTGTGTCTTACTCCTGCAATGTGCAGATCCATGGCTTCAGGCTCATGGTAGCCAAGGAGTTGGTAGCCAGGGTGTGGTTTAGTCTAGCAAGTACAGGGAAGCAAGAGGAAGTAAAAGAATTGGTATATTGGAGAGTGATTATCCTCAAAGATTATGGAATCTGAGCTTTCTTTATGGGGTAAAGAAAGCAATAAAGCACATGACTGTTAAGTGGCAATAAAAACGTAGTAGAATAAATGGATTGTTGGTCCAGGTAGAGGAGGTAGTCAGTAGAGTTGGAATACTAGATGAAGGCATTGTTTGGACACAAGAACGCTGTAATGAGGTTATAATGAACGGTTGGAGTTATTGGCAATAGAAGGTTTAGGGAATGAGTAGTTGAAGTAGAGTGGAAGATAGAATCATTGGAGGGGAGGAGGTCAAGTGAAAGACCAAAGTTTTGAAAGAGGTATTACCTATGTGGATATTGAAATCAGCAGGAATTAATTATGCTGAGAGTAGGGTTGAAAAGATTTCGAGTGAGCCAAGAGCTCAACTCCTTAATGAAGTGAAATATAGCCTTTTCAATTTTGTGAGCTTGCTTCTTCCTTTTTTTTTAAACTTTTATTTTTACCTAAATTCAGACTTAACAAAAAGTTGCCATATATCCTTCACGTAGATTCTTCAAATGTTAACATTTTACCATATTCACTTTCTTTATCTTCCTCTCTGCATATGTATTTTTCCTTAATCTTTTCAAAGTTGAACCCAGAGATGATGCCTCTTTACCCCTAAATGTTTCAGTGTGTATTTTCTAAAAACACACATTTTTAGACATTTTCTTACATAACCAAGTATAATGATCAAAATCAGGAAATTAGCATCATATAATACTATTATCTACAGACTTTATTCAGATTTTGCTAATTGTCTCAATAATATTTTTTGTAAAAAATTCCAGGTCACGCATTGCATTCAGTTGTCATGTCTCCTTAGTCTCCTTTTATCTGGAACAATTTCTAAGTCCCTGTGTTTTATGACATTGATGTTTTTGGAAGGTACAGGCCAGTTTTGTTTGTTTGTTTATTTTTTGGGTTTTTTGAGTGTTCCTGAATTTGAATTTAATGTTTTTTCATGATTAGACGCAGATTCTGTATTTTGTGCAGGAATGCCACAGCAGTGATGTTGTGTTCTCATCGCATTATAGCAGGAGGCACATGATATGTGTGTCCCATTACTGGGGATCATTTGGTTAGGATGATGTTTGCCTGGTTCCTCCACTGTAAAATTACTATTTTTCTCTTTGCACTTAGATAGCTCTGGTATGGAGATATTTTGAAACAGTATAAATACCCTGTTACTCCTTTGTGATTTTTCTAATCATTTTTTTTTTCTTTTATCTTCCAGAATGGTACTGGGAATGTCTTTTGCGACCATGGTTTTATAGAATACTTGCTGTGGTTCTGTCTATCTTCTCTGTGATTGTTGTGTGGTCAGAATGCACATTCTTCAGCACTACACCAGTCTTATCCCTCTTTGCAGTCTTCATACAGCTGGCTGAAAAAACATACAATTATATTTATATCGAGGTCAGTTTATTTTATATCTGTCATAAATAAATGTCAGTTCATAGTATAATCCTTAACTGCTGTATCTTTTCTCCATATATGTCTTCTAGTATAATGAAAGCAGTGAAGTTTCCCACAGTGTTATTATTCAGACTTTCAAAAATGAGCTTCATCAATTTACCCAGACTATAATAACTAAGAACAGTATTTGAGGAGAGATGAAAAGATGCAAAATAGTGCAAAATACTTCTACGAGAGTACTTTGATTCTCTTTATGCCAGTGCAGCTACATAACTTACAGTCTTCATGTGAAGAGTAGCCAAATAGTGAGAAAGCACAGACTCACTTTAGGCCATAGATTTGAAACTTAGGGCTAGGAACTGGTTGAGATGTAGATTTTTTTTATAACTTCATTTTCTTAAGTGGTTAAAAAAAACACTGTTACTGTATTTAAGTTTGAAAATGTCAATAAATGTTCGCAGGAAATAAAGGATAATGCTTGTGATAGTATATAAAGTGCTAAAGTCCATTAGTCTTAATTGTTTTATTGTTTGTTTGTTTTTGTTTTTTTTTTTAGATTGCTTGCTTTCTTTCCATCTTCTTCCTAAGTATCTGTGTTTATTCTACTGTGTTCAGGATTCGTGTCTTTAACTATTATTACTTGGCTTCACATCATCAGACTGATGCTTACAGCCTTCTTTTCAGTGGCATGTAAGTAGATTATGTTTAGAAATAAGGGAAAGTCTCCAATGCATGTATTCTTATAGATCTCTCTTTTATTTCTTGTTTATAAGTCTTCCACACTGCATTTCTCTGAGCTAATTGATTAGGTTTAAATATTAGATGTTTTTTGATTGCTACTAAATCCTGCTTGAAGTTTAAGGTTAAAATAGGTATGCTAGATTAAGAAGGAAAAGGAAGGGCCGGCCGAGTGGCTCAGTTGGTTAAGAGCTTGCTCAAGAGTGTGAGCTCTGAGCAACAGGGTCGCTGGTTCGATTCCTGGCCTGACATGAGCTGCCAACAGGTGGCAGGATGGCTCAGCTAAAAAAAAAAAAAAAAGGAAAAGGAAGACATAATGATCCTGGATTTACCAATGTGAGATTCAATAAATAGGTTAGTAACAAATAGGAACATTTGAGAGTTTAGAGGCTAAGTCAGACCTAGAGAGTATTCTGAGATCCCATGGCCTCGAATTGAATTGTAGAGAACTAAAGAAACTAACAGGAATAATTTTTGCTAAGAGATTTAGCAAGAGTTTTGAGAAGTGTCTCCAGCTTGGGCTAGGTTGCACAGTCTTTATTTGTCCTCATTGTTAAATAACTCAGATATTTCTAAAGGCTGGACTTTCACATAGGAATTAATATATGCAGCATCTCTAAGATTTTTTTTAATATAGACACACAGGAACTTGCAAATACAATACAAAGAGCCCTATTAACCTTCACCCAGCTTCCCTCAGTGGAGACATTTTATATAGCTATTGTACAATATCAAAACCAGGAATGTACATTGATCATTACTGTTAACTAGACTACAGACCTTATTTAATTCTCATCATTTTTTTATCCTTCCTTTATTCGCGTGTGTAGATTCCTGATCTACCACCACAATCAATATATACAACTGTTCTATCACCACAAAAGCACTTCTCATATTACTTATTTGTATTCATATTCTCCCTTCATTTTCCTCTCTCCCTGTTCTTCAGCTCTGTAGTTCTGTAAGGTTCTCTTTTTATCTTGGACAAAGCTGAGCTCTAACAATTCCTTATACCTGTAGTTGTCAGGGTGACATATTTTAATACAACTTCAGATCTTTTATGTAGTAAGTGAGTACCATTCACCATGAGGAAGTTACCACCCTTGTCATGCTTCTGGGACAGATTGCACAGATGGAGACTTGAAAGAGACATGTACAAAGGCCCTTCACAATTCTTGGGCTAAAACAGCGGCCAACACTACCAAAGCAGGCAGCCTGAGACTGCAGTTCACCTTGTAGGTTTTGGTGTTTTTAAAGAAAATGTGATTAATAGGATTTTCAGAATGTCTCTCAAGGAAAATTCACATTAATAATTCAAAATATATATACTACAGGGAGATGAAAATAATAGTTAAAATTATGTGAAATGTTCTTAATACATTCCAATATAATATAAAATGCATTTTGCTCGTTTATTTTTTTGTATATTCTGTTTGTAAATGCATATTTCAGGTTATTTTGCCGTTTGACTCCTCCTCTATGTCTTAATTTCTTGGGTTTGACCCATATGGATTCATCCATCTCTCACAAGAATACACAGCCAACTGCTTATACATCTGTAAGTATGGTCAGAAAACAGAGTTCTTTAGATTCATTATCTATATGGGATCTTATTATAAAATTTCTTTTAATGCAGAAAAGTTCTGTAGCATTATTTGGATCTTTTTAATAACTAAAACTTTCTTTTAAAGGTTGTAGTTGTAATTACTAATGACTGGATAAAAGTGGTTTTGCTTTCTTTTATTATAAAAAAATGTTTTTTGGTTCACATAGGTCATCCAGCTGAGTAGTAGTAGCACTAGACCTGACCTATAATAATATTAATGTTTATAATTATAGTTTTAATGTATATAATTTTCAGTAATATTTATAAAAATTTTCTTTAGGATAAAATCTTAATAAATAAGCAAATTAAGATATAATCAACGTATAACATTGTATTATTTTAAGATGTACAACATAATGACTTGATATACGCATATATTGTGAAACGATGCCCACAGTAAGTTTAGTTAACATTCATCAACTCACAGTTACGGTTTTTTTTTCTTGTGATGAGAACTTAAAAATCATCTCATTCAATGCTTTCTACTTTTTGAAAAGTCCAAATTTATTGGTATATCTGGTTATGCCTGCATTTTCTAATGATGGAAAAGAATGAAAAATATAGAACTGTACTGATTTAACTTACTTTTTTCTTTCTCCTCAGATTATGGGTTCCATGAAAGTTTTATCCTTTATTGCAGATGGATTTTATATATATTATCCTATGTTGGTGGTAATTCTCTGCATTGCTACTTATTTTAGGTAAGAAGCTTAACATTGCTTATTTTTTCACATACTCTTCTCTTAGCCCGATGTGGACATCCTTTCTTCTTAACGCTTTTTAAAATGTTTACTGGTTGGGTTCTGGTTTTTGTTTTATTGGGGCTTTGGGGATAATGGGGATAGTTTAAAGAGAGTGCTTGTTAGAGTTATTCTATTACAAGTATTAGGCTACAAAGTGATAGGATTAATTTATTGAAATGTTAACTCTTAAATCCTGGCCTTGGACACTGACAGCCAATGTAGCTTATAAATACCCCATGCCCAGCTTCTATCCAATAACATAAGTTGGTCTTAGGGCTTTCCCCATGATCATTGCTGGGTTTGTAGGTGTTTCAGACCATAGCCAGCACAGACGGTCAGGTGAGGAGCAATTATAATCGGGCCATACATGTAAGGCTGGAAAGTACACAGGCAGCTCTTTTTATACGATTCGGAAAAGTGGTAGAATCCAGGCAGAGGTAAGACTTCAGCGGAGTTCAAGGGCAGGTGTCCTTGGCTTCTAGCACCCCGTCTTCCCTACTTGCACATGTCAGGTGCCCCCATCCTGTACTCTGTCCACCCTCTTCACTGCTTGAATGCTCCATGACATACCAAAAATGCCACTTAAAAAAATATTTTATTGGGCCGGCCAAGTGGCGCGATGGTTAAGAGCTGGCTTGGGACGCCAGAGGGCCCCGGTTCGGATCCCACATATGAGAGCTGGTGACACTGCCCTCTACAAAAAAAAATATATATTTTATTGCTGTTAATCAGTTTGATTTTCTAACAAAAATAAGTTTTATCCAACCATTTTTTATTTAAATCTTCCAATACCCACTATATGGCTATTATAAATAATATGTATGTACTCACATTAGGATATTGAGTAAACAAACAAGTATTGTTTGAAATAAATTCTCTCCTGAATTTTTAAAAACATGTATATTTTACCTTCTCATAAGTAAAGGAGCTAAAGGACTATAATTTAAAATAAAACTTAATATCAAATGATGATGGATCTATTACTTTGGGTTTTTTTCTATAGGGTAGAAAAGACTTAGGTTTATACTGTGAAAATGATGTATTAAAGGAAGAGAACAATCATCCTTTGGATGTCCAAAACTAAGTTTTGATTATATGCTTATTTATTTAAAAATTTATAAACTATTAATGGAACATTAAGAGCTTGTGATATATAAATTATGTCTTATGTGTTTATGTTGGTAAGTAATTATGTTGGTAAGATTACCATCTTTTCTTAGCTACCTTGTTAGATTGTTATATGGTCAAGTAAAAGATGGGTGGGATATGCTTTATCAACTATAAAATCTTAAATACAAGGAATTATGTGTAAAAGGAAAATTGTTAAACTTAAAAATAATTCCTAAGAGTGTTGTTATAGAGTTCATTAGGATAAACTTTAGACATTGGTTTGTCTTGAAGGGAAAAAAAGGTTGTATTCCACAATTTTCAAATTATCTCTCAAAATAGATATTCTATTATGAAAGTATATGAAGCAATGCTTTGCTGTCATTTCAATGGTAACTTGACTTTATAGATGCATTTTCTTTTGAAATGCTGCCATAATTAGTCTAAATAATTCCCATTTATTAGCAACACAGCCATACCCAGAGCTTATCTTCAGACTTAACTGTCTAGAGAGTATAAGGCTATTTCCTGATGCTTTACACAAAGCCAAGACTTTCCAGAGACAGTTATCAAGTTTGCAGTTTCTTATCCTGGGGTGTAGTATTTCCACAAGGATAGTTGGATGGCAAGGGAATATGTAAAGTCACAGAATTAGCAGTATTAAACTTGTGTTTGAAAATAAGAAAATAACAAATTTTTTTTGTATTCTAGCTGTTGTTTAGCATCCTGGTATAGTAATTTCCTGAAGTTTTGCTAAACACCCAACTTAATTTGTTTCCACAAGAAATCTAGGTGTGGTGCAAACCCTAGTCAGTGAGTAATGGGCATATAAGCTTCTTAGAAAGGGAAATAAGTACTTCTTAAAGACAAATATAACTCTAGGTAGCTTGTTGTGATAACTAATAATAAAACATAGGCTTCTTTGGGGGTGACAATAAAAAACAATTTATCTAAATATTTACAATGTGAAGTAATGCTTATCTTTTTGAAAATTTACTTTTATTAGTTTGGGAACTCGTTGTTTAAATCTACTTGGCTTCCAGCAGTTCATGGGAGATAATGATATGACATCAGACTTGGTTGATGAAGGAAAAGAATTAATCAGACGAGGTAGGATTTGTCTTTTTAAATAAATGAAGGGAAAGTGCTAAGACTCAAGATACAAAATAAATGTTGGTATAATTTGTAATCTGTAACCTATCTTTAGAAATTACAAATTCATGTTTTTAAACTAAAAACCTACATAAATCCTTCATAGCAAAGATAATTTGAAAATACAAATGATTGTCTCATCTGTCTTTAAGAAATTCTGCAGCAGAAATTATTTAGTATGTTTGCAGCTACATAATGCCCTAGTATGTTGTTGGAGTCATTTTTATGTGTGCTTTGAAACAGATATGCCAAGCTCAATACAACTATAAAACTCGTTAATTTAGAGAATCATCAGTTTAATACTGTGTACAAAATAATCCAAGCCAAGGCTGGTTTTTAGAATGTAATGGATCATTAACAACCTGTTACCTGGCACTCTACTAGAATCTAATCTCAAAACTGAACATATCAGATTTCCTGATGTTCAAGTGATGATAGGATAACAGAAAAAGAAAAACAAAACTTGACTTTTTAGACATTGATTCTTAGACACTCTCCCTACTTGGGCCTGGGGCTTTGTGTAATTATTAATTAAATGTAGGCCCAAATGTGTTGCAGATCTAAAATAAGCTGGTGTAGCCTTCATATGCTCTCATGGAATGTGGCGTGTAGTTAATGTAATAGTTCTGCTTTTTGCATTAATTAGACCTCGTAAGGAGTATCATATTCAGTCCTGGGTAAGATTTTTAAGATTAAGACTGATAAGTCAGGAAGAATTTAGAGGACAGCCAGAGTTATGGATCTGTAGACCATATCTTATGGGGGAAAAAAAAACCCAAACAAACACTGAATATATAGCCAGAAGAGAATAAGGGAAATGACTCTTAGGCAGAAAGAAGTATGAACTTAATTTAGAAGATAGGACATAAAGAAAAGAGAAGTTACAGAGGACCACATTGCAAGTCACCGTGAAGAAGAATTTTTTCCTCACTGAAACTTTAGACAGAGCCTAAAGGGCCATCTCCAGCAAAAGTAAGAGGGTATTCTCTATGGAGGCAGGTGATCTCTGAGGTTCTTTCCAACAATAACCTATTACCTTTGACTATGTAGTAATTTAAAGGAAATTGGTCATAGCCTGATACCTTTACTTCAGTTACTTTCCATCTAATTAAACCATGTTATACCAAATTTGAGACTGCTTTTCTGTCTCTAGAGAAGAGAAAAAGGCAAAGGCAAGAAGAAGGCGAACACCGAAGAAGAGTAAGTATAGCACTTATTAAACCACTGTAACCTCAGGGTTAATGGCAAATGTCATAGAATCTTACTGATTTAGAGTAATTGGCTGAAGACCGAAGAATAGCAGGAAGAGACACAGTATACATTTTTAAAGAAAGGAATTTTAGTAGTTTCAGACATACATGCTAGGTGTCTTGTCAGACGTGATTTAAAAAGTCTTTAGTGATAAATTACTTCGTGTCCAACATCTAGCAGTGTCTTGCCTAAGGTAGGTAGGTGCTCAGTAAATACTGTTTATTGAATGAAGGAATAAATTCAGGCAATCTTACTATGAAAGTGATTTTGATTGCTTTAAAATCATACTTTTTAATAATATGACTGTAATTAATTCCTCTTTAATTTTTCTTCAGTCTTCCGTTTGCTGAGGCAAATTAACCTCTTCCTAAAGAGTGAAAAGGCAAAAAATGAAAAAAATTTAGTCACAGTTATCACACATTTTCAACACCTGGGTGTATCTACACTGGAGAAGTGAGGACTCAGGAGACATGATAGTGGTCTTCATGTAATTTAGTGTGTGTCGTGTAAAGGGAGACTTCTTATTTATCAGAGGCATAAATAGAACCAAAGAGTGGAAGTTACTGGAGGTAGAGTTCACCTATCTATGAAAACTTCCACAGTTTATCACTTGCAATGAGGTGATCACACATAGGAATTCCCGTGTCATCTATTAAGAGAGCCAAAAAGCACCTGCCATGGCTATTTTACAGTGAAGCCCTGTGCTGCGTGGGAGATTGAATTAGGTGACCTCCAATATGCCTTTTGAGTCTAAGAATTGAATGAACAGAATCCTAGTTAATAGGACTTGAGTGAAACTAAGACTGTACACAATGCCATGTGAGTAATTATCTAATTATCTTTGTATAAAACTTTAATTTCACTATCAAAAATGAAGTTAATATTTTTAGTTAATTTGGGTGGAAGACAATTTTGTTAACATCTCATTAATTATTATCAGTTCTCATAACTTCTACATTGCCAACGTAAGTTTATTATTATAATATTGTTTTGACATTTTAGATAGAAATGGAATAACTTAAAATAATCATAGCTAACAAAAATGTGTATAAATGTCTTCACTTGTAAAAGTTAAGTTTGGGTACTATTAAAATCATGTAGAGATAAGAAAAATTATTGATCTATGATTTTTAGGACACTGTTAGTTATACTGATTATCTGATGAATTTCTGATGAAAAAGAATTAAATTACATTACTGTACAAAGATAATCTTTCGACACTGATGAATTATTTTCTGCCTGTGAGTCCCTTTGTTATATATTCATCTGTGTTTCTTTCCTAGGAATGGAAAGAACGTTATGGACACAATAGAGAAGATTCCACTAGAAACAGAAATGCTCATATTGACCCAAAAGAGTCAAACTTCTCAGATATAAATACCAACCGATGTAAGTAGTTTATTGTCTTAGAAACTTTTTTCTAATGCTTGCTTGCATAGAGACTGAGGATTAGGATACTCATTCAGAAATGCTTTAGAGAACTGTAAATGTGTTCTGCAGTGACTTTTTCATCTCTTAATGTATCAAAAGTAGGAAAATTCAAATATGTGTTCTGGTAGGAGAAGGAGACATGTGGGATAGCAAATGAATAGTTGTAATTGTACTACCCTAAATAAAAGTACTACTTATCCCAGGCATATTTTAGGCAGGTACTGATTTCTACTATTTACCTAGATGTTTTTCTTTACTTTTTTATTAGTAGATTTAAGCTATTCAGTTACTCTTGTAATAATTTACTGACTGACCCATATATATTGAATACTTTCCCAGGTATACAGGGATATAGAGAACATAAATTTGCATCCTTGGGGTGCTCATGATGTAGTGAGGGACTGATACCAGGCAGGAGACGTTTGTCAGTGTGTTGGGTTAGGAAACCTCCCCACACCTCCCCTGGAAAGGTGACAAGAAAGCTGGTTTTGTGCAGGTCCCAGCACTGAGTAAAAGATAGAGGTTGTCTGTCTTAAGGGGAGATGCAGGAATGCTGAGATAGTAGCAGGGTACATACCTGATGCTGAGGGAGCTCACCTCAGGGGATGGAAAGAACAGTTTTTAATTGGGAAAGGATTTCCGTGGTAAAGAAATACTTAACTGAGCATTTAGAAATGAATACTACTTAGCCCGGTGAAGGTGTTTTAGGCAGAAGGTAGAATGAATGACATGAGAGAACTTTTGGGGAAATGCAAGTTCTTCTCTGTGATTAGAGCTTAAGTATGAGGAGCCTGATAAGAAGGGAGGCTACAGATATAGTTGGGAAACATATTATTCTGCTCAGAAGTTTGGAATTTATCCCAAAGATAAGATTTCAATCTGGAAAGAAGCATGCTCAGATTTTTGATTTAGAAAGATTTTGACAGCAGTCTAAAGCATGATTTCCAGGGAAGTGAGACACAGAAACCAGTTCTGTTTTGGACTGCTGTCAAGAAATGATGAGGGCCTAAAATGAGCACTGTCCCTGGAGATAGAGAAAGAGGAAAGGATGGATCTGAATGACGTTTACGGTGGAAGAAATAGGAGAGAGCTAAAGTTTAGTTAAAGCCTAGGACATAGAGGGAGAATTTTACAAAATAATTTTGAAGCTTGGTTACCATGGGAGAGGAGTGCATAGAGTGAGGGAATCTGGGAGTGTAGGAAAATGGTTAAGAGGAAACACGGAGAATGTGGCATGTGGTAGGCAATCAGCATTTGCTGAATGAAGGAGAGAAAAGATGAAGGGCAGAGTCCAAGATGACAAAAATGTAAAGTATAGATTTGGTTTGCCTTAAGTTTTCAAAAAGAACTATATCATACAGTTATTTTTAGGCTTTTCAACTACTCAAAGCCCCATTACAAAAATTTAGAGTGTTTATGAAGAAACCCCCATCTGTGTAGGGAAGGGAGACTTCATGCTTTAGGTCTGTGCTGGCCAGGATGGTAACCATTAGCCACCTGTGGCTGTTGAGCATTTGCAATGTGGCTCTTGTTCCATGTTGAAATGATAATATTTTGGATATATTGGGTTAAATTAAATATATTAAAATTAATTTCACCTATTTCTTTTTTAATGTTTTAATGCAGGTACTAGAAAATTTAAAGGTAAATATGGGCTTGCATTTTATTTCTGTTGGACATTGCTGCCCTAAATTCCTGTCTGATGGGAAAAAGATTTAGGCCTTTCTTAAAGAGCTGGAGTGGAGTACACCTTAAAGAAAATCCTAACCAAGAAATTAGACATAACAGCCCATAGATTCACTATGAAACCAACTGAAACTTGATTTGATTATGAACAATTTCACTGTTATGATGCCATAGTGAAATATTAATTCTAATTCATATTAATTAAGTCTTTGCACTATAGCTGCTTCTGAGCTTAGACTAGCTACAAGGAAGAACTTTTCCTTGTTATTTTCTATCATACTGATTATCATTTTAATCTGATTTTAAGGAACCACATAGTTATCTTTTCTTAATATTGTCTTCACAATCAAAATTCAGATTCTTTATAATCTTGACTTTTCCTGTCTGTGAGTCCTAAGACTGGAACCCATAAAGACAATAAAAAAGTAAACATTTTTTTTCTTCCTTTGCAGCGGTATCCAAATATACCAGAGCTAATAATAGAACTGAAAGGGACAGAATAGAACTCCTACAAGATCCAGAACCTATGGATTTTAATGCAGAAGCATTTACTGATGATCCTCTTGAATCTGAATCAGGAAGGTAAGTTCCAGTTGTGTCATCTTGGTTCCAGCACTCCTCTAAAATTTTAGTAACATGTACTGACTTAACGAGATAAATAAACATAAGGAAAATGTTTATTTTTACTACTAATAAAAAGCATATTAAGCAACCTTTGATACCTTTTTATACCTTCTAATGCTTTTCTGTTTTTAAAATTATAGCATCCAGTGGTGGTAACTGAAATTGGTATCTTAATAAACTAATAGTGGTATTATAAATAAGCAAGAAGAATTGAAATTGATAGTAAGACTCTTAATGTGCATTTCTGACAATTTCACTTACGAAATTTGTCATATTTAGCAGTAGCCACATAGCTATGACTGGGTGTCAGACACCATTCTAAGCACTTTAACAATGATGTTGTATTTTATGGTTGTAATTCCAATTGGATTTGAAACCAGAGAGGCTCAGTAACTTACCCAGAGTCACACAGCTTATAAATGGCAAAGTCAGGTGTTTAAACCTCAGGACTCTGGCTACAAAGTCTGTGCTTTTAGCCACTGTGCTATGTGGACATAATTAAACAAAAACAAAAAATCATATGCATGAAGATATTTGCTATAATATTAGCTTTAAATAGCAAAACGAAACAAAACTGGAATAGTCTATATTCAACAATCAAGAGTGGTCATTAAATCTTTTAAGTTCCATGATGTGTCTTACCTCTCTTCACCCGTTTCTTTTTACATCTCTCACCCTGTTATACATGTATTCCAGGCTCTAAAAAGTTGTTGGTTGATTTATAATTAAGTAAATCCCTTTGAGATAATATCCTTGGAGAAGAAATTTCTGCTTTCAGCTGCTGAATAGATTTTACAGTGCTTACAAATTATGTAGCCACTTCCTTTTAATGTGTCCTTGTTTTTCTCTCCTCCTTTATTATTTTTGATGCCTTAGATCATTTCTTTATCCACCTTTCAGGTATCAGCCTGGTGGACGATACCTCTCAATGTCTCGCAGCAGAATATTTGATGATGTTTAAAGTCTGAAAGGATTTATGGAATAACCAAAATCAACACATCAGTTCAGTCTTTATGGACATCTGTATACCCTAGAGTTTACACTGTATTCTCAGTAAAAAGTGTCAGGATAAAAAAGGCACTGACAATTAATCACATATTAGTAATAATGGTTTATTATTAATTGAATAGAATATCATCTTTTCGAATAGGATTTATTACATACCATTCCTGAAGTGTCTGCCTTAGAAGTACAGTTACAGTGGAAGGATTTAATTCATGATAAAGATCAGTATGTCTGGAAAACATGTAGGTCAGTTTGTTTCAGATTTTTCTTCCCCAGGAAAACTGTTTTAAAGATCCAAGGAAGCCATAAGTCAAACTAAATAATATTACACGGTTTTATTATTTTGATTTACATTTTTGCTGTTTCTAAAGAATACGTTAATCCTGTATTTCCCAAAGAATTGGAGACCTCAAAAAATAACTATATTTACAAAACCCATGTCTTAAAACAAGGCTCATTTACCAGACATACCTGAATGTAGAAAGCTCTTTTTCAACTCCATATGCATATTAGTGAGGTTTTTGCATGTACAATTAAGATTATACTTCAACAGATAGTGTTAGTATTTTTAACACGTGTTCTACAATTGGGTGATGTATTATTTCAGTCTTTGGTAGTAACTGGAAATGGTTTCATGCCTTTGGTCTTGTTTTGTAAAAGATTTTCATTTCAGAGAGAAGTGTTCACCTTTATCATTTAGCATGTTGATTTAAGTGTTGATCATTCCGTGTAAAGAGAATCCTAAGCATTAATGGTAAATAGTGGGTTGGTTTGTTTTTTAAATAACCAATGAGTCCCACAAAATTCTCTAATTTTTAAAGGTGCCTGTTTATGCTTTTTGAAACAGAATATCTGGTTATTCAAAGGTAAATAGTGAATCCATTTACTGTCATTACCAATACTTAAATTGTGTCTTATAGAAAACAGAAAATTACAGGCATACCTTGGAGATATTGCAGGTTTGGTTCAAGACCACTGCAATAAAGTATTAAAATAAAGTGAGTCATAATCTCTTTGCTGTTGAAGGGTCTTGCCTTCAGTTTGTAAAAAATGTTAACATCTGTGGAGCGCAATAAAGCGAAGTGCAATAAAATGAGGTATGCCTGTATGTTAGAATGGTGATATGTAATAATTTGTTGATTGACATGCTAACTCTTTTAAATTGATTTTTTAACCTTTGTGTTTAAGCCAGAGTTATTACATTTTAAATCATCAGTGTTTTATCATACAGTGAATATAGTTGAGCAGAACTTGCTTGCAGATTTTTATGTCCCTGAAATGTTTGCGAGTCTTAGAGGATCCATGCTGTGGATTCCCCCAGTGGTGACTGTACTTGAGCTCGCACACGACAGTCCCAGTTAAACACCTGTTACCTGTGTAACTTTTAATATTGCTCACTTTCACTCTGAAGTATTGCAGTTTGAAGATGAGTTATATAGTTACTCTAACAATATGATTATATGTTTCTTGAAGGCGATCTTTCCCTGAATCATAATTTAAATTTTTTATTTTCCTCTTAGTGTTATCATGTAAATTTTTTAAGATGCGGATACTGAAAAGAATAGTGTATCATCCTAATTATCTGATTTTCTTCAATTTTTATGATTTTTGAGATTAGATCCTCTTTAAAGTAATTATCAATGGATAGATTTTACTCTCAATTGAAGGTCATATAGAGTGTCCATTTAGAACATACACACACACACACACACACACACACACACACACACACACCACAGCCTTTTATTGTGAAGTATAGTTAGAGAGCTGTAGGCCAGGAACAGAGAGATTTAATACTGTTTGCAACTTCATGATTGACTAGTGAATACTGTGGGCAAATCAAGTAACCTTTCAGTGCCTCAATTTCTTCATTTGCGAAATGAAGATGATACTTGGTATTTACCTTCTGATCTACCTCACAAAGTATTGTGAGGGTTTTGAGTTGATGTTTATATACTGGGCTTTAAAAAGAAAACAAAATTGATGGTTAGCTACGCTGTTTTTCCTGGTGGTACTTGAAGGTGTTGGATGGGGACATGATCACCCACCCCTCCAAGGGGTCCAGTTTCTTATTATTACCAAGAATCTTAAAATCCCCAAAGCAAAAACTCTTGGGCATAATTCATTAAAAGTCCTGTGAAAATATTATTGTTTTATTGTTTACCCTTTGGGTTTACTTTGGAAATTTTCTTAAGTATAATGTTTCTCATCAGATTTTATCATAAAACTCAGATGCTGTTGTAGAATGAGAAGTAGAAAAAGAGAAGAAATTATCCAATTACTTTTATGATTTATAATCCGTAAGATAAATTGATAGGAATGTGTAAGGGAATTACCACTCTCCTTTATTACTAAATTTTTTATGATTGTAATAATGGGTACATGCTTCACAAACAGATTCCCTTTATAACTTTAGAGTTATTTCCAAAATAGCTTTTGGTTATTTAAGTGATCCAGAGTATTCAAACTTTTAAGCAGCATTTATCTTATAGGATTTTATATGCAATCATATAGGAAGGTTGTTACCTGGCTAGGTAAATTTGAGTTCAGAAGGTAATGATTTAACCCCTGAAAACTAAGAGTTTATTACTGGGGAACTAAGTTAATATTTATTAAACCACCTTGTGTAAAAACCTGTAGTAAAAACAAAAGTGGTTTGGTTTGTGTTTTTTTTGAGAAGCTTATTAAAATGTAATGACATCTACTGCAAAACATCACTACTAAATTAATACACTTTACATGCAAAATACATTTCTTAAAGAGTTACGCCTGGCAATTACCTTTTGATGTCTTTCTTACATAATAATAAATACCTGATCAAATTTTCTAAATTATTTTTCTAAATAATTGTTAAGTAAGGATTTTTAGTAAGCCAGTAATTCAAAATAACCATTGCAGAAAGTAATAATTAATGATCTATTAATTTCATGAATTACCTATAAGTTGCTAATTAATTTTTGTTACATCAGTAATCAGTTATCAATAGAGCATTTTTGTAAAAATCGTTAAAATAAGAAATAAGCCTAATTATTAGAATTTGTTCTTTTACCAAATGAATACAAGGGCTTTGAAATAATTTAATCAGACAACAAGACCTCATTTCACAAGAGTCATAAGAGCTAAATCAAAACATTCAAGGGATTTCGATTTACAAAGGACAGATCAGAGATTTTGACAATCCAGTCCTTCAAAAAGAAATGCTACCAATTGATTTGTTTTTGGATTTTACTATTTTTGATCAGATTATCAGTTCTTAAATTTATACCTTTTGTGTATCCAAATGAAATTAAACATGGATGGGAAAGGCAATGTGTGTATTCATAAGTACATTTTAGCATATTAATGAAGGAATTTCATTTATGTACAATAGCAAACTTCACTTTCTTATGCCTTTAATAGATTTAGGGGATGGTCTAGGTGGTATGTTATCATTTTAAAGCAGAAATAAACCGTCCATATTTATAATTTACACTGTTCAGTAATGTGAGTTTTACACTTGTGATTTGAATGGACCATGCCTGAAAACCACAAGAATAAATATATTTATACTAAGAGGCAAAACATGTCCCTAAAAATCTTAACATTTCTTGAATCTCCAAAGTGAATGGTATCGTATAAAGTTCTAAATGTTAAGAAGTAAATGGATTTAGAGATTTATCTTTCCTTTCTTTTCTTCCCTTTCTCTTTCCTTTACACCTTACTTCCTTTTCTGAGGCCTTTCTCTGTAGTGTGACTCTTAATGTGTTGACAGATTTTTCTTCTGTTCCTTTTGTGTACACACACAGTTGTTTTTGATGATCAGTACATGTAAATGGAACTAGTTCTGACTACAGATCCCACTACTTGAACAGCAGTATTGCACCTAAAATAGTAAAACAGATTTTGTTCTTCAACTAAGCAACATCTGAATGTAAATGTGGTGTGTACTGGCTCAGTGGGCTACTTTTAGATCGCCAAGGAGGGCATGCCAGTAAAATGAATTATTTTCGGTGTAATGTTTTGGCATAAAAATGGATTTCCAAAAGCAGTGATTGTTAAAAACAAAAAACATTAAGAACTTTGAAACCTCTTTTTCTGAAAAGAAATTCGTAAGTAACATATACAATTGTTAAAATTTTAATTAGAAGAGGTTGGAATGATAATAAGAGGGTTACAGGAAGTCTTCTGAAATATGAATTCTCTGTGTGTAGGATACTTCTTTCTAACTCAGTGACTTTTTCCTGCTCAGAGACCTGGAAGACCAGGCAGTGCTGTTCCCTTCCTAGTTCCTGGGGATCAGGTCCTGTGAACCATCTCTCCTAGAGAGCAGGCACTAGCCTTGCTCCATCCCCAATCCCATTGCAATGGTAACATGACCTCACTTCTCATTCCTTTCATGCTCAACCTGGTTTTCCTAAAATGTTATTCTCATTTTCAAAAGATGTGCCCATTTAAGTTGATGGAAGCCTTGTTGTAATTTTAAGTTTGTTAATAATGCAAGAATATTGGCATGTCCCTCTTCTCATCAATATCGTAAAAGATATTTGTTTTTAACACACTCCCTGGGGAGAATTAACTTTTTTCCCCTGGAAATCTTTTCTTTTGTGGTTATCTTGATCTCAAATTATTCTGACAAAAAGTGATTTTTTTTTACTGTACTTAGTGCAGAAAAAATAGAGAGTGGCTTAGTATGGCAGACATACGTAGGGTAAAGTTATAATTTATTAATTTGACTATACAGTACCATATGAGTTGATTTTATTGCCATCAGTCTTATCAACCTAGTCATTTAGACCTGTATTTCTCAAAAGAATGCTGACTAGCATCTTCCCTACTTATTAGTAACCCAAGTTGTAGGGGAGAGACTATTTATTTATTTTTTGAAAGCAATCCAATGGATTTGTTTTTATCCATATTTTGAAAACAGTTTGAAGGATTTTTTTCTCATTTTAGAAGGTAGAAAACCTGTGGACCTGTCTTTTAAATTACTGTAATCTAATATATATTTATAAATTATAGCATTGAAAAAGAGCTCTAATATTGTCGTTACTTTCTGGTATTTAATTTTTATAAAATGTTTTTGTAAGTAACTAATTGTAGTATTGCTTTTAAGTAGTTTAAAAATCTTTCTCAAATAAGTTCTGCCCAGAACCTATTTCCTTAGGGCAGTATTCTAAAGTTCAGTAGTCTGGTGTGAATTTGAAATATTCCTACATTTCTTCAGTATCTTTTGATGTATATCAGTACCCAAGCAAAGTATACCAAAAGGCTAATTTCTGTGTTGCATTAATAAAGTATGTGCTATTTATCTAATTCAGTGGATTAGGTTAAATAAAAGATAAGTCTTTTCAAATGTGTACCTGATTATAATTTTTCAAAATGTTCATTATGTTCATTTTTTGTGCATGATGGCAAATTTATCTTTAATCAGCTGATAGGTAATGACAA